GTGATAGCAAAGTTTCAGAGTCTTTAAACCTTATTTTCTTGTTATCACTGGACTTAATTTGGGTTTTGTTTAGCTAGCTAAGTCCATCTCTTTCTAGTGGTTATGCTAAGCTAACTGGTTGTTGACTCAAGCCTTATATTTACCAGCAAAAACCCACCCTATAGGCAGTTTTTGCCAGCCCTGGGGTGGTTTTTCAAATTCTTCATTCCTTCTTTAGTATAACTTGAACAAAATTCTGCCACAGATACAAATTTTGGTGATCTTTAGGTTATGTATGTTTAATGTGCCATGTGAAACAAATACAAACAGAGAACACAATTTTACACTCACAGGGGGATGAATACAAAAATCAAAAGTATTGGGATTTATACAAAATGTTTTTTTAAAACATAAATTATTAAAGATTGCTATATGTGTGACAATGTTTGTGCAAAGCTTTGTTGAGGCTGGCCCACCTCTTAAGGATTAAATAGGATACATACAGACTTATATGCCCATATATGCTCTGATCATAAAAGTAAGATAATTATATCGGCATAGAAAGCTTTCAGTCATATGACATGCGATTTCAACTTCATATCAAAAAAGACAAAGTGTGAATATAAGGCTTTCCCCCCCTTTTTCCAGAGACAAAAACAGCAAGAATAAGAGATAGCTTATACTCAAAATAAGCAGAATATAATATGTTTGATCATCTAATTATGCAGAAAACTGCTGTTACTAAATTATATGAATATACAGGCAACCTGCCCTTACCCATTTCCCTTCCAGCTTCAGTCCAAATTATTGTTGGATGTTGACTATGCTGCAGTAAAGTGATATCAATGTTTTAATCTCAGTCCTACAAAAAGAGAAAACATTTTCCCAGAATGCTAAAATATTTCTTACAGACTCAAGAGTGAATTATCAACTGCTTCAGCACCATCCTATGCTGCATTTCCATCACATGTTTAAAGAAAGATGTGCTTGTCAGGCAAACTTAGGTATGCTGTGTAAATATCCTTGTAACAGTCTTGGAGTACTAAGATACCGCAAGCCATTCTCTTCCATAGCTCTCTATTAACTCTCTACAAAGGTTGCGGCACAAAACAGTGTAGCTTGTTGAATAAAAACTAAGATCACCAAATCTTTCCTTAGTGCATTCATGAGCACTGACATGGTTTTTCCACAGTGCTGTGCTTTGACAGGTAGGCAGATCACTGATGCACAGTTGGGACTACAATTTTTCCTCCCGAGTGAAGAAAAACGAAGCTGGAAACAAGCTGGGACAGATATGTGCATCTACAGTGCAGGAGTCAGATCTGCAGTAAGAGGAGAGGTGAGTAAGTGCGCTTTCATAAATGAAGTGAACTGCTGATCAAACAGATCAGGTGTAAGGCAGCAATCTCCCAATTTTACAAATTTAGAGCGACAAATTAAAAAAACAATCAAACAAAGCAAAAACGTAATTTAGTGTCTATGCTTCACTGAGAAAAAGGATGACATCATAGTGGAAAAAATGAATGACAAACAAAAATGATGATAATTTGGAATTTGTGTTCTTAGTGTGAGCGTCTAAATGCCTCCTTTTCATGGCAATGAAATGGTGGGCAAATGATATCCTTTGACAAACACTTAGGGGAGTTTCCTGTACAGTAGATAGTGAATCCTCAGAGACTTGCAGAGACACAGTCTTGCATGCTGACATGCACATGCACACACACGCAAACACACTCTCTACTAAAGAAGCTAAAATAAACAAAGATTTGGGATAACTTATCACATGCTCAGATAGCTTTGGAGAATGCTTATTTAAGGACTTTCAGACATTTAGCATCGAGACAAATCACAAACACATTGTCCTACATACTGCTGAAGTGCCCTATAGTTTGCGTTCGCCTAAACTTTAGATAAAACATGTGTAATTTAAATAGCCTAGCTTTGCCTCTGAGGTTGCATCAGCTATATTCTCGGTGTTCATTGGGATCTCCAGCATCTAATTTCAGCTGGGTGGGGATACAAATCAAACAAACCATTGACATGGTAACAAGTATGAAAAAAGCTACAGAAAGACCAAAGTGATTTTCACAGCCACTACAAAGGCTCTGTGCATGAGCCTTAGTCACTTTGTAGAAAGCAAAGCAGCTCAGACAGCTCACATAGTTTAAGGCATTAAAGTCCATTTCAACTAACACTGTCACTACAATGTGGATTACCTGCACCGAACAGTCTTCACCAAGATTACACAGTGCCGAGCTGTTTTGCACGAAACCAGCTAATCTGATGTTGCTAGTGAAATTAAAAAAAATTCAGCTGCTGTGAAAACTTTCACAATGCATAAAGCAGGAAAAAAAAATCACATTTTGCAGGAGCAGCACAGGTATACAGTGGATGTAATGTAAACAGTGGCTGTCTGTGGGTACTTCAAAGACCAGCACATAATAGGTTTTGGAAGCATAGGTACAGACCACAAACACTTATAACTGGTGCATCTGAGTCTTCAGAGTGCTTTTTTTGAACTGAAAGCACACAGTTGTTGTTTTTTTCCTCTAATGCAGCTTCTGCCAAGTAAAAGGTACTTCTGCATTTCAGCAGTGCCACATTTCTAGGCTGGAGTGACCTGTGCAAATGCAACAAGGGTACACACTAAAGGGGACTGAGGCTTATTTAAATATCACGACCAGCTGAGAACTTGCTTTCACCAAGTTCCTGGGTGATTGCATGCCCAGAGCGAGAAAGTATTTACACGCACACCCGTGCCAGGCAGTGTTAAATCCCACCCTTCACAGGTGTCAGAATTGTACTGTAAGCATGCTGGATGTGCCAAGTGTTGTAGTAACAAGCCAACTAAGGAACCATAAGAGAGAGATCAAAATCAGACACCAAGGAAAGCCAACATGTCTCTACAAGGTCATTTCTGTAGCCTTTTGGGCTGTGCTGCTGCTGCTGACTATTTGTTTATCCAGCACAGCACAGGCTGAATTACTTTAATTCTTGGCACTGGCTTCAGTGCAAGCCAGAGCCTGTTTATGTTCTGCTGCTGGACATACTGTATAGAGACCACCTGCCCTTAATCAGTATGTTTCAAACCAAACAGAACAGAAAGACACAACACATAAGAAGATAACGTACAAGAAAGTAATTCAATAGCTGAAAAATTCTTGCAGCTGCAATAATTTAAAGCTCTGGCAGAATGATTCCTTTCAGGATAAAAGCTTGGGTAACTTAGATCCTTGTGTTTTATTTTATTTAAAAAGAAAAAATAAAGAACTTTAAAAAAATAATTTAAGCAGCACTAGGTTTATTCAAGCAACTTGTTAATGCAACTTTCTCATGAAATAACATGAAAATCAAAAATCGAATCAAATCAAATAACATGCGATGTTGATTTAAAATCCCCGACAGAAAAAATAGGACTAAAACGCGTTGGAAGCCAATTACGCGCGTCGTTTAAATAATTCCTATGTGGAGCTGCTTGTTAGCTCTGCGTTCAAAATTCCCATCCTCTCTGAGTAATGATGTGTGCTTACCTGATTAGGTATAATAATCCTCCGAGGTTTAAAGGGGTGATTCCCAGCGCAGGTTTCCTGGATCCTTACTCTTTCATTGAAAAGCAGTTTAACGCGTGTGCGAGCGCTCTTCCACCTGGAGTTTTTCTCCTGCCTGAGCGCAGCGCTCATTAAAAGTGGAGAACGGGACGGGGGCGAAGTTTCTCCTATTTGCCCGTCCCACTTCAGGCTTGCAGCTCTTCACCCAAGCAGAAGAAGTAACCCGGGGCCATCGAGACAGCGCGCAGACAAGTGTTTTCTCTCTCTCTCTCTGAATCAAATGACGCACTGCCTTAGTAAGCCCACTGAGGGAAAAAACAAACTATGATTCTGACTATATGTTCTAAAACTCATTCATCCCGATTACCTGGCTGACAAATGAACCACCTAAGATGAGTGTGTCATCTCTCACCAGAGCAATCATTCCTCCACAAATAAACCGATCAACACCTGTTTGGGAAACACTTCAAAGTTAAATCCACTGTCACTTTGGGGGTTTGCGGCTTTTGACATGCAGTTGCGGTGTACCCTACAGCTCATGTACAAACACACACACACACACACACACTGACTGCAGACTACACAGACTTTTACTACAAGCACAGTAGGTATGGGTGGCTCTAATGAGCCCGAGGCCGTTTAGCTCTTAATGTCTGGTGTAAATGTCCTTCATGTCATTACCGTGCAGAAACAAAAAGTTGTCCTAAAAAACAAAAACAAAACACTCATCTTTTGATTAAGCTGATCTTTTAAGTTTTCCTTCTTTTCTGTCATGCATGTACTGTTACAGCGGTGAATGCTTATATTATATTCAGTATTATTTTTAAAAAAGTCAAGCGTTCTCAGACAGCTTTTTCTACATTTACTGTAGCTCCTACAGACCTCTGGCTGTGAGGACAGCAGCCTAATCCATCTGCCGTTCAAGCCTTTTGTTTGCCAGGGGCAGCAAATCAGAAGAAAGCTGGTTTAAGAGGAGAGTGGCCTTAAAGAAAGATGCACTAAATCAGCTTAGACAGTGGGTGATTCAGGGGCTGTAGCAAGGCTGAGGATGAGATAATAAAGCACGCAAAGCTACTCTAGAAGAGAATTTGGAGTTGGAAATGAGAAGGAATCGGCCCCTTTAAAATAAAACCATTTCCTTGTGAGTGATGCGTAAACACACTGAGAAATAAAACGCTGTTTCTCAACAGAGTGTGGACTGCAGGATATAAGGTAGATCTGAGGGTATGAACGCCCTCAGGGGACACGGGGGAAATAGTAGGATACTGTGCCATCACATTGCTTCGGTTGAGTTAAGGACACTTCAGTGTTTCCAGATGTTGTTGTGCATCTCTTGCCTCGCTATTTTACTGACTGCAGATTTCATGAGCTGGGCACCTTTTAAAAAAACACATGCATTGTTCCAGTTTGGTTTGAGTGATTGTTAAAACACTCCTAACAGGACCTGGAAATAAATACTCTTTGCAGCAGGGATGAAACTTAAAATAATTTATTAACACTGGTTGCACATACAATTTATTAAGATGGATAAGACCATAACATACAAAAAAATAAATAAATAAATACTCCCAGTCTCCCCATAGAATTCAAGTATTGGTTGAGGTGAAATGGAAACAGTCTTCAGAGCCTGTCACACCAGTACTCTGATGTTTCAGTGTAAGAGGGCACGTCGATGTGGAAGACCTGTGGGTCAGACGGAGGAGTCTGAGGAGGGCTGTTGACCCCCGAATCACTGTCGTGCTCAGATTGGTTCAGCTCTGCAGCTGCACTTTTCACTTCCAGCTTCTGGCCTGGAAGTGATTCAGGCGGGGGCGGGGCCTCGGCTTTTGGCGTGATGTTTTGCAAGTGCACCACCTCGCTGTGCTCTTGCGCGCACGGCAGAAGTACCAAAATATCCTTGCGAAATTTGGAGCTCATGCCGAAGTAGATGAGCGGGTTGTAAAAACTGGCAGACTTGGCAAAGAGGCGGGTGATGATACTGGTTGTGCTTGGCACGTGGAAGCCCCAGGCTGACCACATAGACACCACTGCATATGGTGACCAGGCCAGGATGAAAGCAGTGCAGATTACAATGGAAATCTGAAAAGAGACATAAGGAAACTATTGTCAGCACTTGAGTAACGTGAAAGGAGGTTTATGACCGAGCGGGCGCTTTTAAGTAGACCTTTTAAGAGTCCCTTTTTACATTTATAATCAAGCCTTTCAATAAACCCTCCACAACTAGACTCGACTATTTTCCTTTTGTCCTACCCTTGTGACGTCCCGCTCCATTTTCCTTTGGCGGGCGGTGAGGTAACCGTCAGCTGACATAGCATTCGTGGTTTTCACTGTGTTGATAATGGAGATGTAGGAGAAGAGCATGATCATCACCGGGATGAAAAAGCAGAAGATCAGGATGGATATGATGTAGGACTTGTAAATAGTGGAGTAATTGGCTTTGGACCAGTCCACTTCACAAGTTCCATAACCTCGATCTAAGAAACACGAGATACAAGGTCAGATCACGGCTCTGTTGTCATGTTGCATGAAGCACCGTTAAGTCCAATGCATAAAACAGACCTGTGTAGCTGCCCCAGCCCAGGAGTGGAGCAACAGACCAAAAAATCCCTCCAGTCCAAATGCAGATTAGTGACACAGCAATCGTGTTGATGCTGATACAATGAGCTGCGAGAAGACAGAGCAAGGACAAGTAACATGAGTACAGCCTGCTATTCTCACACCGTGGAACTGACTGCAGGATTGTTTGCAGTTTAAAAACAGTTTAAAGGTCATGATTTTGGCAACAGAAAAAGTTAGATGCAGAATTTTTGACTTGCTATGAATTTTTGTTGAACAATGAAGTCTTTTCTTTTTTAACAGCCTTTGCTGACATCTGCGACTGAAAAGGGCCTCTGTTGATAAAGTGTTCAAGGGAAGAAAATAATAGTTTGTTCTATTTCCAGGCAACGAGCAAACGTCTAATTTAAATATCCCATATTATACGTGCAGAGCAGTTTTCAAGGATTTCAGTGATTTTAATACTGAGCTGTATTTTGCGTATTATCTGCACTGGTTTACCTGCACATTTCATTCTCCTAACTCATTTGCACACAAAAACACATGCAGTGGGGTTTTTTCAGATTTAGATTTAGTATAAGAGCGAAGGTTTTAGCAAACGCAGCTGGTGCCACACCACATTTACCACTAATGTCCATAGTTTAACGGCAAATGTAAAAACACTCAGGTTAACATGAGCAGCCACAAACAATAAAATCCTTTATCCCTCGCCGACAGCAGAAGCAGTTGCTCAACTAAATTTCCAGCATAATTAAGGCATTTTTTAACATCAGTTGCAACCCCCAAAATAGCAAATCTCACTTCAAAATAAGTTAATAATGTCTTTGAGAAATAAAAATGAAACTGCTGGAGACGAGTGGTCGTTATTTCCACAGCTGAAGCCTGTAATGAGCTTTCATTAGCACTAAAAACACCACACTCTCCTGTCAGATAAGAGACTGCTGCTGGAATGCGAGGAAGGCCAAAAGGCTGGGCTAAAGCTGTAAACCTTTGTTTGGATGGCATCCCTTTATGTATCTGGTGATGCTGATCACCGTCAAGGTGTTGATGCTCGCGAGGCCGAAGAGCAGCGTGAAGAAGCCGTCCACCTGGATGGAAAGAGAGAGAGAAAGATGGACTGGTAGTTCCTGATGTCACGTCTTCAAAATATCTGTGAGTGGTCAGTGACGCCTCGGGGTAGAGAGCCAGTGCCTGTCTAATGTCAGACCTTTGTCTGCCGAGTTTGCTCTAGATTTTATCAGATAGAGATGCTTCAGATAAAGAGCTCTTCCTCCCTTTTGGTCAATATGCTCCAGACACAGAGCCTTTCCTCTGATGTAAGCTGTACAGGTTCAATAAGAGGATGCTAAAATGGAAAATCTTTACTGCGTCTGCTAATTTGTAGATATTAACTTATATCACAGGAAAATTTGATTTGACTCTCAAATATGGCAACACATGGAGCTTTGTTGCAGTCAGCCCAATGTTTGGGAATCTTTTAATCACAGCTCTTCTTAAAGGAAATGATGCTACTGTGTTTCAGTCTGGCCCCAACTATGTAACACCCAGCTCCTGCTGTGCCATTTCCAGGTGATGGGGATCAGTTGAGGTCTGATTACTTTCTTGATCTTCCTTAAATGTAATCCTATTACTTCCAAGCATCACGTTTTTTCACCGTCATTTGGCAGAAAACTATCTTACTAACATTGGTATGGTTTTTATTAAGCGTTAATCTTATGTTTCATTTTAGTTCTTATAAAATTTCAGGACCCTTTGCAATAAAAATAGTGGTTTAGTGCAGTTTAGTGCAACTAATCTGTCTTTTATTTGGCTCTCAAGAAGGTGATGTAAACTTTCATAGACCTTTTACACTGCTGCATCATTTCTTCCTCCGAACTTTCCTTCTGTAATGTCACATGATCCTGAGAGGCTCTTTCATATCTAATAATGTCCTGCCCCACCGAGTGTGAAACACGGGGATGAGGCCCAGCTTGCAGCTCGCTCATGTCCCATCACGCTCCATGCAGTAATGTGCTTCTCACATGCCTGTCTCCTTCACCTTTCTATTCTTTTTCTCCACTATTTCTGTCACTTTTTACCTGATTCCCTTATTTACGTCTGAGGCTCCCTGCCTTAGCCCACTTCTCTTGGGGGAAGGTGAAATAAGAGAGGTGGGGTACTTCCCTTCCCAATATTTCTCTTTCACCGGAGATTGGATGACTGAGATATGAGATCATCTCTGTGACTGTAGGGAAGCCTAAGAGCAGCAGAGCTTGAGTTACAGTATCTCTTTCACTTAGATTTTTAAAGTTTACGTTCTCCAGACTAAAATATATTCTGGTTACACCGGCTTGTTTTTGTATGACTCCTCAGAGACTTCACTCGCTGCAGCACGGAAATCACAATTTCTACCACGCCTGGCTTCGAGCAAGAAAATATCCTGGATGAATTCCAAGCTAAAGTATGACAAATATTTCTTTTCAAGCTGAGGCTGTAGGAAGAGAAAAACACAGAAATGAATGGTTAAATATAAGATCCTGCAATATAAGTGCATGTAGGTATAAAATTCAACAAATAGCCACCAAAGCAGCTCTTAACCGTTCACTGTTTGGTTGTTGACAGGTGCCCTACTGCTAGAAGAAAGGCCTCCACAATGGTAATCTTATCACGATTTAACCTCCAGCCCACATGTCTACTAGAATAATCCCTTTCACGTACACACACCCACACGCATATACACCTTACTGTTACACTTCCACAGATTCTTTTAATGTACTTTATTAACTGAGGGCTGGCCAAAGACAGCAGATGCACACGGATGGTTTTTTGGTGACTCTGCACAGTCATAGCTCCTGCGATAAGACTTGTTGTTCCAAATGTCAGTATTTTGAAGTCTTGTTCGAGTTTGGCTTTTACCTGGCAGGTCCAGATCCAGGTGATCAAATATCCATCATCCTTGAAGATATTGAATATTTCTAGGATTCCCCGGGAGTAGCCGAATATTGAAATGCTGGCATCAGAGATTGCGAGGTTTAAGGTGAGCAAATCGGTTGATTGAAGTGTGGCCCGCTGCCTGTACAGGACAAACATCACTAAACTGTTTCCAAACCAAGACAGCCATCCTGCAGGGAGGGAAGCACACAGAATATTCAGGGGATACCTAATTAACCACATAGCATAGGATACTAAATCTTATGGTAGCATATGACATTGTATGGTGTTTTATTTTATTATATTTTATCATATTGTATCATATGTAGTAGTATAGTACTATTAGATAATATGTTACATACAGTATAGGAACATGTACGTATGTATCATTGCTGTTAGTTCTGGATCTCATCCTGAAGTGACTCCAATAGTGTGAATAACCCGTGAAGCTCAGAGTTAAACCCTTTTACTCTGTAGTCAGATAACAAGCCAACAGGGTCCCTTTCTTTTTATATCTCAGACTCTGTGTTACACAAAATCTCTCGACTATCTTAGCTGGCACGGTCCAAACCAAACTGTGGGTGTCAGCTGTGGACTGGCCTTTGGAAACAAGAGTCGGTTTTGTTCTTGACACTTGAATAATGTGTGACTCTTTCATGCGAATGTAGGAAATACAGTATATCAAGCAATACTGACACAGTAGCATAACGTACAATCCAAGTAAACATATTTCATCTGCAAACAATACACATAATGCAAAAAATAAACATTGCATTCTAGCGTATGGTGGTTTACTTACCCAGCACTAACAGGTAGACTCCAATGATGGTCTGTCCTTGATCAGACAGAGGAGGGTCTGTATGCAGGGTGCTCAGGTTATTATTCCTCCATGGAATATTCACCACCTTCAGAGTGAAAGCCTTCAGCGTCAGCTCCATGGCCTGAATTTCGATGCCTATGCATGAATTCTTTCTGTCCTCTTCAAAATCCCTGCTCTCCTCTGCTTTCAGTAGACACTGCAGTGACACACGAGCAGGGATGACCGGTCAGTTCATTTTAAATCCAGCTTAGACACAGTCACTAATACCTCACTACTAACTGTCCAAATGACTGCAGCTGTAATCCTATCTACTGCTTAACAACTAAGAAGATAGAGGTTTTGGGTGGAAATTTGAGGCAACAGGGAAAGGTTCAGTGGTCTAATTTTCAGAGTGGCTTCGTAAAGCTTAAAGACAAAGGTCTCGTCTCAAGCAAAGCTATCTTAAAGCCCTCAGCAGAGATCAAAGCGGTGCTGAACAATTTCAAACGCCATCTTGTGCATTTTCTTTGAATTGTGTCCTGCAGGTTTGTGTGAATGCCAAACAGGAATTAATGACTGAAGCTTTTCAGTTGGGCAATAGCACAGAATTGGTATTAAAATTTCAATATATTACTATTAATAATGTTCTGAAAAATATAAATAAGAAATGTATTTACCCTTATCCAGTATTAACAGGCGCCTAACATCAAGTGTTTGGGCAGCATTTACATTTAAGAAAATTTTATTGTATTTAGTACATAAACATAATGTAGGTGTATCTACTGGATAATAGATACTGATTTTTAAATAACTGTACATGAATAACTTGACTTTTTTATAAACTGTAATATTATGCTGCAGTATATTTCTAACCAGGCAGCTCATTCTCATTCTCTCGACAATACTTTTGTCATAGATATAACACATTTTGGGGTCAACTTGAAAGAGAAAGAGATATGAAATGTAAAAGTGAGGTCAGAGGTCAAATGTGATGTAATATTTGGATACTTAGAATCCCCATACAAAAGCCTAATTTCCTAAATGTTGCGAATGGCAGTAAGAAACATACTTTGAAATAGAGTTTCAGATCAATCTATTGACTTGAAGAAAAGATGAGAGCTCAAATGTGATGATACTTGAAGTCTTCATGCAGTACTTTCTGTATGCTGACAGCAAACATCACACTTGTACGAATTATAGTTAAAGTTATAAGGATTTTTGCCATCTTTTGATCAATAAATCATTAAGTTAACCTAGAAGACCTTGGTGGATGTAACCAAATTTTAATGGAGTTTTAACATGACTACGCTCTACACCCCTACAACGTTTTAGGGGTCAATTCAGAACATTTCAAGCCCATCATTTTAACAGAATGACACGCACACATGTAAACACTACTAAGAACATCTGTGGAGGTAACAAAAATCAATCCAAAAACAATAATAAAAAAAAAAAGTGCTGGGATACTAATAAAATTGAGCTTTGTCAGCTTTTCCGTCTTGACCATTCAAATATCTGCTTACACTTTTAGTCCAACTCCTGAACTACTCTCAAGAGTTGTGTTCCTGTTTCTGTACTTCCATTTAGGAGGTGATGACTTTAGACCTGCTGCAGTAACCACACGTTGTCTAAACACAGATGACATTCATCTAAACATACACTAAACCCCAGAAATATCATATGAAGCATAATTTAGTTTGTTTGAGCTAATGTGTGCACTGAGAAATGTGCTCTGATGTCAGAGTGAGAACATCTGGCACTTCAGAAACACGATCTTTATTTAGCTCCACCAACAGATGCTGGTGCAGTGTTATTGATTAACATTGTTTTGTTCTGTGAAAACTTATAATTGCAGCACATCTCCCCTCGTCCACCTTCTCTCCTTCTTCTCTTCACAGTGAACTTCTCTGTGGTGACACACCCACCAAAGGGGTATCCTGAACACCCCCCCCTCAGTTTGTATTTAGTTCACAGTGTGCACCTTGTTTCTCTCTTCTGGCTGCCACAGTTCAGGATGTGGTGGGAAGGGCTGCTTGTGCTTCTGATGCCAGATGCCTCTGTGCTTCCGCGTCTTCTTTCAGCCTCTGAAAGCCAGCGAGCAAGAGAAGGAAGGAGCCAAAGGGGAAAATGAACCTCTGACCCCAACTGTCACCCGTCCAGCAGCAAACACTGAATGCAGTCTTTGCACACCATACTTTCAGCCAGAGACTCAGAATGACACTGTTGCTAGATGTTAAAGTTCCTATTTTTGTTCGCATAATATGAAGTCATGACACTGTTGATATCAATTTCCTGCAGCAGGCTGGAAAGCTATCCTCCTACAGTGAAATTAAGATGATTAGGAGTGCATGTTATAAAGTCATTGTTTAGTGCAGCTGCTCCTGAGATTAAACTGTTGCTAAAGGACAAAGGACAAAGAAGACCCCACATCCAATCTACAAGGACAAAGCTAAAGACAATCACATCTGTCCACAGAGGATAAATGTGTGAAGCTGGCATCTTGTGGTCTGTCAGCTGCTGTGCAGAGATGTGGGCTCTGTTCTGACAAAAATCCATGAATCAAATACAGGTTTTGCTGAGTTAAGCACAAAGCACTGGCACCTACCATACACCGCACAGTGCTTAAGTGTTGCCACATTACAGGAAGACGACAAGATTACCTTAGCGCTCACCTGTATACCTTGGCACGTGTTTGAGTTCACAAAGCTGGGCAATCACGGTGCACCTACAGTAGGTCACTGTATCTTTCTCTCGATCTCGCTCTGTCTTAAGCAAAGCCAGAGACAGAGCAAGCAATTTTCCAAATGGAAAATCACAGACACATATGCTATTATGAAGGTGTGTGTTAAAGGCTAAGAGCTGTCTGAAGGCCACAAAGCCTCTCTTCACTGGGGACATTCACCAGGTCAAGAAACCAATACAGGATCTGCTTGAAAAAAAGTGTGCGTACTTTTTCCCTCCCTGTCACTGAACGACAGACACAGGGACTGATTGTATGAAAGTAAATGGCTTGCCTGTCATTTTCGTCTGCTAGTCCATGCGTGGCATTCGTAGAAATACATTTTCACATCTACAGGAAATCTGTAATAAAAATTGTTCGAGGGGGTTTCTCAAAAGGTGGCCTCTAGCAAGGCTGGTAGTAAAAAAAAAAAAGAAAAAAAGAAAAGAGTATACTTTGCAATAAACAAAGTTATAAAACCTAAAAAAAAAAAAAAAAAAAGGCTGGTAGTAGTGACGGTGATTCTACAATTTATCATAAATGGATTAGAAGTAAAGCTATTTACTGCCTCTCCATGCCCCTGTGTGCTGGGTCGTTAATATGAATAATAATCTCTGCAAGGCTGAAGCCTTTTAAAATTTCCTGCAGTGGCTCAGGAAGTAGAGCAGATCATCTACTAATCAGAAGGTTGGTGGTTTGATCGCTGGCTGCTCCAGTCTGCATGCCAAATTATCCTTGGGCAAGATACTGAGTATGAATGTGTGTGAATGTTAGATAGAAAGCACTTAGACATAAGAACAGTGCTTGTGTGAATGTGAGATAGCTGTGCTCAAGCAGAAAACTGCTATATAAGAACCAAGCCATTTATATTTTACATAAAATAGGGGAAAAAACTTCAAATCAAATCAAATCAAATCACTTTTATTGTCACATCACATGTGCAGGTACATTGGTACAGCACATGTGAGTGAAATTCTTGTGTGCGAGCTTCACAAGCAACAGAGTTGTGCAAAATACAATAATGTAAACAAGCAAAATACAAGAATGGCTACATCTGAAACTAATAAATATATGTACAATATATAATAGTATATGCATTTCAAGGAACATCGAGCTGGCTTACTGGCGATGGGATGGGATAGGTCCCATTAAAAAAAACACAAACCACGAATGCCTGCCCACAACATGTTCACACCTATGCTTCAAAGGCTTCGTCACTCTGCGCAAATATAATTTCACACAAGTGAGGAATATGTTTAAACACCGCGGGGAATCTTTTTACCCAATGACATAAACTTAAAGCTTCATGCTACAGTTAGATGCTTTGAAAAAGTTATAATTAAAATGTGGATATTACACGTTGTATGTGAGGCAAAGCTCTCATGAAGTAAACAGAGACCACAGTTCCTAAGTTCACCTCAGACAAAGACCAGACTGATTTTACTGTTCCCTCTGCACCTAACTGTTTCATGACTCCACAGCCAAGCCTGCTATAACCACAGATTGCTGCTCAAAATATAATTATGCTAAAATAGTGCATGGTGTTACAGTGTTAAGTTGTCCAGTTGAGCTGTCTGAAATTGCACAGAGGAAATGAACACTTTATATTATTGGTCTTATCTGCCAGCTTTTTATTTTCAGGACAAAAGTGCAGCACTTTTGTCTAAAATACCATTTTTTTGGATAACACCTTCATATAAAGCCCATATGAAATAATAGATGAATGGTTCAGTATGCATTTGAAGTGAACACAGGCTCTGTGTTGTGACCAGCAAGCAATGTGGACTGGTTTTGTGGCTCAAGATCTTTGGCTCTGGACCACATGCAAACATTTTTTTGGGCACTGGGTCTAGTTTGCAATTTCTCTTCCTGAGTGTGTTTGTGTAAGCAGGTAACTTATGTAAGAGAGTCTCACTGAGGGCTGAATGTTCGCCTTTCCTAAAGCGGTCTGCACATCACCTTCGACATAAAGGGATATTTGGCCAAAGTATAAATGCGGAAATATCAACCTACAAATCAAACTCTAGATCCTGTAAAACCTTACGTCCTAAAAGTATGTGAATACAACTGGTCACCTAGAGCCACGTGCTTTTCAAGACTAAATCTGACAGATGACGGCTTATGCTTCCATTTAAGTTTACATGGAAGCGCTAGTAGCTGATGTGAATGGCCAGCTCTTTGCATCAGCCTTCTTTACCTGTGCTCCAACACTGGAACTCTTCTTGAAACTTCTGGGGACTAAGAAAATTAGTGATCTCCTTTGACATCTTGAAGGAATCCAACCTGTCCCTTTGCATGATGCGTTGCAACACATAGGTGCCTGCTGGTGCGGGACAGGGGTAAACATGTTTCAGACATTTTAAACCTTTTAAAAAGCGTGACCTTATTAGTAACAGAAATGTCCACAGCTGTCCTAACGCCTCATCAGGGTGAGTGAATTGACCCGTGTTTGACAGAAGGTTAGTGGGCTACATTATTATCCTCTCCCTGAGCAAAAACTTGTTATGCT